TTCATTAGTTAACATAAACTGCCAATGAAAAATTCTTCTGAACATTCATTCATCTTAGGTATTCCAATATTTAATAACGCGTTGTTAAAATCGAAAGTTGTAACTGTGTTATTTAATGAGCTAACATGAACTAAGACTTGTATTTTTTAAACAAAGATTAATAACTTCTGTAGCAAATGTAGCTATTGCTCATTGTGAATGTTAATGCATTAACTAAGGTTAACTAATGAGGTCTTATTGTAAAGTGATACTTATTGGTCTTTATAGTTCTTTTGCACTTTAATCTGTGTAAAACTTTTAACTTTATACATTTTTCTGTATTGCTTTATTGCATTTAAATGTTCAGTTATTTTTGTTATAAGAAAAAAGTTATTAACCCTGTTATACTGTATTATGACAGCACTTTTTTTTTAAACTAAATTTCAATATCGTTATAATACCGTATACCGTGACAAAAGCATTAGCAATTCATCGCAACATGAAAATTTGATACCGGCATATCTCTATTTGAGTGTGAAATTATTATTTATGAGTGACTCATTAAATCTTTCAAAAACGCAGATCAATTTAGGATGGAAACACTTGTTTCTTGCTCGTAGACACGTAATGATTTATTAAGCTTGTCTTCATTTGGAAGTATTTATATAAGTATTTTTGGCAGGAATAGACAAAGTAACTGGTAATAGTGTGTTTAAAATGTAAATGTACTCTATACTAACTTAACTGTTGTATAAATCCAATATGAAACATTGCTTAAATAAACACTGTAAGGTAGACGTGTTATTTATTTTATAAACATGAGCAATCGACTCTGAGCCATTAACATCTCTTGTGCTGTCATTCTCTTTCAGTGGAAGTTGCTCCTGCTCTTCATACCAGTTGATGAGCTCTCTGTGTGTACAGACCAGGTCAGACATTTGACCACAAATCCTATCAACCTCTATTACTTATTACATGGGACTTAGAAAACAATCAAAGTACAGCTTTAATTCTATATTATTCTGTACTTGTACTTAGGACTTGAGTGCAACCATTGATGCAACAGTAAATAGAGTGGAACAGATACTGGACTCTCTTCATAAGAAGGTGAAGACAGTCCTTCAAACAACAGTTTTGAATCAGTATATTAAGTTTGTTTACTACAACAGCTTTCTTTTTTTCTCTCTAGTTGAAACATACACTGGTTCATGTTGTTGTTTGGAGTGAACTGTCACATGACCGGTCAGTATGAGACAACATTCTTCATAACCCAATTCTGATAATATTCTGCAGTGAACAGTTTAATTTAATAAGGTGTTTACGTTTTTTAGAGTGTGTCAGTTCCAATGTGAGGAAGGATATGATGAAAACAGACGCAGACTGGATACTATAGTGCTCATGGCTTTATTGCAGGTACAGTACATATAATTTGTATACAAAAACACACACATTGATACATGGGTGACTTTTGAATGTCTATGCTAAAACAGTTTGACATTATCACACAGTATATGTGTTTATTGAACAGGAATCTGTCAGTGCTCTTCTAGAGAGAAGAGGCTGGTTTGGTGACCGGGAAGATTTCAGTGTAATGCTTCAATCCAGTCCAGTGCACACCGAACTGTCAAACCCAGTGAGTCTGCAACACTCAGAGATTATTTTAAACAGGCCACTAGATAGACAGATAGATAGATAGATAGATAGATAGATAGATAGATAGATAGATAGATAGATAGATAGATAGATAGATAGATAGATAGATAGATAGATAGATAGATAGATAGATAGATAGATAGATAGATAGATAGATAGATAGATAGATAGATAGATAGATAGATAGATAGATAGATAGATAGATAGATAGATAGATAGATAGATAGATAGATAGATAGATAGATAGATAGATAGATAGATAGACAGACAGACAGACGGATAGATAGATATAGACAGACATTTGAATAATAAACATTATAGATGGCACAATTTGTATGGGTTTTACACAATATGCACAAATATCAATTGCCTATTTCACATGTATTATGTTGAACTAAAAAGTATTACATTTATACTGGTATAAAGCAAATGTTTAATTAAATTGGTACATTATTATATTTCACATGTATTGCATCAAGAACATTTATAAAGGCCAGAACCTCTAGTAATTAAATTTATTGTTTTAATAAAAGTGCACGTAAACTTGTGTATTTTACTTTCAATTGAGGATATTGAATAACCAAAAATGACTAAATCTAAATCTAACCTTTCTATTGATTCACTGCGTCAGACTTGTATTGAGACTTGAGAGTTTGTTATTTGTTTTTGAATCAATTTGCTCTTCTAAAAACCACAGATATGACTCACGCTGTGCTACAGAAACAAGCCTGCTATAGCAAGTTTGTATAAGGATAATTTGGCATGTTATTAAGCAAAGTTGTACTTTTTTTGTTGTTGTTTTCAGATGAAAGCCTCTACGTCTGACTCCTCACGTGACATAAGCTTGTTGACTTTACAACTCTGGACTAATTTGGTAAGTTAATATTAATGCAATCAATGCATGTGTACATTGTTCCTATAGATGTAGAGGTGAAATCCTGGACACTACTTTCAAGTTATAAAAGTTCAAAGTGTTAAAGGCCCAGATATGACATAACAGGTAGACTGATAATCAGCTCTCAGTGATAGCATCTAATCTGAAACTTATTCAACCTAGAAACACATCTCAAACCATTTATCTAATCGTGCCTTTATATGACGAAGAACTGCAGCCCACTTTTTGACCAATCCTGATTATTCTCTTTCCAGCTGCAGCCAATGACAGATAAGACTGAGACGAATGGGCGGGGCATATTCACCATTCCGTGCCCCACAGAGGTGAGGGAGATATTTGATTTATGACCTCTTCAGCATTGATAATGAAAACTGCTGATTCAGAGTGGGTTTATAAATATGGCTTTATCTCACCAAACTGTTCTCTGCGCTTCCCGAACTTTACGTTTTACGCAAGTTTTTGTCCTTCACCTGTGATAAGGTGAAAGTATTTCAGTTCCATTTCATTTGTTATAGCACTGACTTTGTCCTATACGTTTGTGTGTTAGTGACAATGTTCACAATGTGTATATTCAAGTCTGGATGATATTTTTTTCTAAACAGACAAAAACATGCACATTTGCCTTATTAAACCTGTTGTTCTGTCCCAGGAAAAGCCATTTTTGCGAACACAGGAAAACTCATACTCACCTGAGCTCGGTAACTCCCAAACAGAGGATCCCTCTCCACTACTCCACCCAGTGAGTCCATTCTCACCATAAGTTGGCCCTGTTGCTTTGACTTACAGTGTGTCTTAACTTGTGCTGCATCTGACCTTTCAGGTGATGGGGAGTGAGCTCACCTGTGAGGACAGGTCTCCATCTCCCAGCATCCCTACCTCAGGTAAACAGGGATCTCAAACCTGTAGTGCAGTGGAAATTATAGTTGTTGTTTTTTTAAGCTCGTTTCTGTCTGTCTCTTCTATAGTCCATGCCTTACGGCCAGCAGACATCAAAGTGGTGGCAGCAATGGGTGATTCTTTGACGGTAATAAACATACAAATTTTAATGTATTAATGATATTTGCTAATACCAAAGATCTTTTTTAACAAATATGCACTACAACTGAAAGTTTGGAGTCTGTACGAATTTTTAAAATGTTTTTAAAAGAAGTCTCTTATGCTCAGGGCTGCGTTTTCTTTGTGAGAAATACAAATACAAATACAAACAGTGATAATCTTTTGTAACATATTAAAAGTCTTTACTGTTGCTTATCATTTTAATGCATGGTTGCTAAATAAAAGTATTGACCTTACTAATCGCAGACTTTTGAACAGTAGTGAATATACAAGTTGTGATGTCATTTCCTTCCCCCAAAAAACAGGCAGCCAATGGGGTGGGTGCTGCACAAAACAATCTTCTGGGTGTGCTTACAGAGTATCGCGGCCTGTCATGGAGGTGAGTGTCTACCCCGATCACACTGTGAACCATCAAATGTTGCTGGTTTCGTTTTATCTATATGATTTACAGGATAAAGTTCTTGTCTAAATGATCAATGATCTCATGAGGCAGAAGACAGATATATTTTATTTTTTGTTCTCAGCATTGGTGGAGATGAGAACCTCACAACTACAACCACTTTACCAAGTATGTGCAAGCTGTCATGTTACTGCCATGCTCTTTTTATTGTGTACTGTAGATTTATGATTAATCATTAATAAGGAATATAATCAACACAGAAATGATTGTAGTCATTAAATGTTTAATAGCTGATCAAGATGACGCAAGAGTTTATACAATAAATAGCTGCTTTTTAATCTCTACTATATACTACGTAACTTGAAGTAGTCCAGGGGTGAAATTAGAGGTCAAGTTGAGCATTATTCTTGAGTCCCTCCTTAAAAAAACTGCAAGCCATATATGTTTACCCTTACCAATCTCTTTATCACATTCAGGGATTAGATAGACATGTAAATCAGATTTAGAGTGATTATGTGTGTATAAAATAATGTTGTTGTTTTTTTTGTCATTTAGATATATTGAGAGAGTTTAACCCTTCAATCACTGGCTATTCAGTGGGAAAAGGAAGTGAGAATTCTGCACTGAGTTTTCTGAACCAAGCAGTACCAGGAGCCACATCTGAGTGAGTAGCTTCTCATCTTATAAACCAGTGATGGAGTATGAAGCGTTGTTTTTTTTTTTTTTACATTAAAACTAAAAACATATATATATATTCAAGTTTAAAATGCAATTCATAGCAATGATGGCAAAGCTGATTTTTTTAGTAGCCATTACTCCGGTCTTCAGTGTCACATGATCCTTAAGAAATATTGCTAATATGCTAATTTGGTGCTCAAGAAACATTTCTGATTATTATCAATGTTGAAACAGTTATGCTGCTCAATATTTTTCTAGAAACCATGATACATTTTTTTCAGGATTCTTTGAAAAATCGAAAATTCAAAAGAACAGCATTTATTACAAATAGAAATCTTTTTTTAACATTGTAAATGTTTTTACTGTCACTTTTGATCAATTAATTAATTTCTTTCAAATAAAAAATGTAATACTGTAAAATGTGTAATATGTATTTTTTCATTTTGCAGTGATATGGTCACGCAAGCTCATGCTGTCATTAAAAGAATGAAAGAAGACTCGGTTAGTCATTCTCAAAATCTCACATACACACATGTAGCCTACTTTTCTGTTGTTATTGAAAATGTTGTCAAAATGCTATAATTATAGTTTCGATCCTCAGATTTTCATTAAGGTGTTATTTAGTTCGGTTGTATGTTTGAGTTATTTTTTTTTCTGTAAGATATTAAGATAGCACACAGGGTGCTAAATCTGAACCTCATTCAGACTGGCTGAAAATTTCTGTCTCTTTTCAGCTAATTGATTTCCAGAATGATTGGAAGATTATCACAGTCTTCATTGGAGGAAATGACATATGCGCCCACTGCTCTGATACTGTACGCTGATATTAATAGAGCCTGTTTTATTTATTATCAGAGTTTCAGTAATAAATCTGCAATTATCTCTCTTAATCACTCTCTCTCTCTTTCTCTCTCTCCTCAGCGGTACTATTCTCCTGATAACATTGTGAAGTATATTCGTGAGGGTTTGGACATATTACATAAAGAGGTGAGGCAGTTTTAGCTCTGGTTCTCTAGCGCCGTTTTTATGATACAGATTTTCTTTCAGAAATACAGTGGGGTCCAAAGGTTTTTGAAAATCAGGTACTCAAAATGTAAAGCTAGAAATAAGGTTCTAAGATTTTGTAAAATGTGAAACAAACAAACGAAAAAAAGACAATACTGATGTGTAAGATTATTGATGATTTTTATAAAGATATTTATGTCTGTGAAATCTAAAGTGTCTGAAAATAAAAAGTTATTCTAAGAAAAAGAATAAAAGATTCTGTACTATTTCATTAATCATGCAAGCAGATTTCATTTATATTGTTATGCTGGAAATTGGAAAATATAATTTGTAAAAAAAAAAGATATTAAATCAGAAAAATGCTATATATATATATATATATATATATATATGTATATATATATATACAGTATATATGTATATAAAGATTGGTTGGAGCCCACTTTATATTTCTCTTCATATATCTTTTTATTTTGAACCTATTTAATGTTTGTTATGATAGGCCTGGATTGTTGCAGAAACAATGGTCAAAAATCTATCTGACTGCTTTTGCTAAACCAGATTATCGGTAACAAAACGCCACTGTAAATCGCTGCTGCTCGTTGGAGTTATTCATGTGTTCTCCTCCAGGTCCCTCGTGCTCTGGTGAACCTAGTGGAGCTCCTGGACATAATTCCACTGCGCCGCCTCCATCAGGACCCCACTCTTGGCTGCCCCACCTGGATGGTCAAGTGAGTTTTGCCCTATAAACTGGCTCTCCTGATTTCTGCTTGATTCTGGTAGATCTGATATCTGAAGCTTTTGGTATATGTTAGTCTTACATTATTTGCTTTGTGTTATATATATATATATATGTTTGTTTTTTTGTTTTTGTTTTTTTTAGCATGTTGTGTCGCTGTGTTCTGAAACCTAAAGATGGATCTCATGAATTCCAGATGTTGCAGGAGTTCAACCAAGCCTACCAGGTACACAACTTATTACATGAAAATTAATTTATTGTCTGTATATTAATATTTAATTATGAATGTGATTATTGACAATACAAAGCAAATGTACAGTTTTTATATTTATATTATTAATATTAATATGATTTTAAAATGTAGCTGCATTAAAGTGTCCATTAATATTCAATGTATGCTGTTGTGTTTTATTCTCAGCGTGGTATGAGGGAGCTGCTGGAGTCTGGGCGATATGACACTCATGATAACTTCACAGTGGTCCTACAGCCATTCTTCAGAAATGTGTTTCTCCCTGTGTTGGAGGTGCACAGCAATCTTACATCATTTATTGCACAAGCAGTCCTTCTGAACTATTTGTTCTCATGATCTTTGTCATTTTTACCATGCTCTTTTAGGATGGGAGACCTGACCGTTCCTATTTCTCTCCAGACTGTTTTCATCTCAGTCAGAAAGCTCACACGCTCATGGCTCGGGCTCTCTGGAATAACTTGGTGAGCATATGAGTTCAAAAGAATAGATACAGATATGTTAATGTATAAGCCTGATCATGTTTTATTAATATATTGTGTGTAATTTGTTATGCAAGTGTTTTTCAAGCATGTTGTATGCATTTATTTAATTTTTGTTATATATTATTATTTAATTTACTGTAAATGACTAATGCTACTTCAGCAATAACCTCTTTGAGGATGTGTAATTGAATTGTGTTCATTTACAATATAATACAATTCAACAGGAAAAAATACATTTCCATAGACTTTCTTAATATAGGCTATTGTCATTTCACAGCATCTTAACTCTCAAAATGGATTTTCCGTTTCATTCATTCGTTCTCTCTCTCTCTCTCTCTCTCTCTCTCTCTCTCTCTCTCAGATGGAGCCTTTAGGTAATAAGACAGATAGTGAAGATTTTAGTGCAGGTGTCCCTCTTAAATGCCCAGAAAAGGTGAGTTTAAACTGTATAATTCTTCTTTAAACTCTATAATTCTGTCACATTTTAATACCTTTTCCTATTCTTCTTTAGTCATCCCCCTATTTGAGGACCTATCACAACAGCAATTACACATATAACACCCCTCCTCCTACTCCTCCACCTGCAAATGTAAGTCACACAGATATATTACATACAATATTAATAAAATACAATAGAACCATAAAGTGATCAATATGTACTATGAAATTATTTCTCCCTTTCATTTTAGAATTGGGGAACTGATTTCTCATGTGTGGACACAGTGCCGTCTGACACTGTGCCAACATCTGGTAAGAAAGAGAGAGGAGGCAAATTCATTTGCTTAATTTTTCCCACCAGATAACCATAACTATCCAACTCTCTAACTAACTATTTCTCCTTTTCTTGTATTTTTATTTAATAATCGTTGTTTTATTGACTTTAAAGTATTACAGCATTATATTTATTAAAAGTCATGCAATATTTTTACTTTACTAAATTTTATTTTGGTACTTCATTAACAGATATATAATATATGTATATGTAACAGACACACGCATACTGTATATGTATGTATATTCTGTTAATGAAATAGCAAAATGTAAAAATGTTGCATGAATTTTATGAAATAGAGTGCTGTAATACTTTAAAAATATTAAGGAGGATAAAATTTGTAATAGATAAAAATGACTAGAAAAATGAGAAATATTAAATATGCACATAGGTTTATGGAGAGAGACAAAGATGTAATACAGGCTTTCAGATGTCATACCATTGATTTTTATTGTTGCTTTGTTGTTGGGTTTCGATATCAAGGTAGTCACGGTTGAGATAAAGTTTAGATACAGAACTGTTATGTATTAACATAACATCAATAACATTAATATATTGCATGTAATAATGAGTTATGCAAATGTTTTATAAGCATATTATATTATTTATTTATTGTATTTATTATTTAATATATCTATTTATTTTATTTTGTATAAATGACTGAATGTTTAAAAAAATATTAAGAAGGAAAAAAGAAAGATTAATAATAGATAAAAATACAAGAAAGAGGAGAAATTGTAAATATGTACCTATGTACATAAATATAGTTTATGGGTAGAGACAAGCATGCAGGCAAGATGAGCTTTCAGATATCCTGCCATGATTTATTATCCTTTTAGGTCCAAGTAGCGCTGCATTGTTGCTTTGTTGCTTTGTTGCTTTGTTGCTTTGTTGTTTTGTTTGGGGGAGCCAGGTAATCACATAATCACATTTCTTTCTCAGTTCACAGGCTGCGTCCAGGTGACATTAAAGTGGTGGCGTCTCTGGGAGATTCAATCACTGTAAGTGTGTGTGTATATTTGTTTATGTTGCGATGTTTTGTCATGCTGTAATTATCATTCTCTGTCTCTGAATCTGTCAGGCCGGCTTTGGTGCAAAAGCTGAAAACCTTCTGCAGTTAGCGGATGAGGAGCGAGGGGTTTCCTGGAGGTGAGTTTTTTATCAGTCTACTGTATGCCTAAGGAATTGCTTTGTTCTACATGTTTTCTAAGTGTCTGTGTTCAATTTAATTGATAGCATTGGTGGAGATGATACTTTGGAGACTGTCACCACATTGCCAAGTGAGTGTAACCTTATGTAACACTTGATGTCATTTTTATTGGTTGTTATTAGCAGTATGGTTATATTGACTAGGAATGAGACTCCAATGGCTCTGATTCTTATTATCAGATTTGAATTGTTTCTTGTTTAACAACGTGATAATCACTAGCTCCTTGTGTCATTATTTGTTATCAGACATTCTTAAGAAGTTCAATCCTAATGTTTTCGGCTTCTCAAAGGGGAAAAGTAAACGACCCAATGGCTTCAATATGGCAGTGAGTGGTGCCAAAGCAAAGTAAGGAACACACATAAACATACATAAAAACTCAATTTACAGTATCCTTTCAGCTAATGATTTCTTCCTCTCTATTCAGTAATATACCAGCACAAGTGAGGGATCTTATCACAGCTTTAAAGGATAGCACGGTCAGTATGCTTATTCAATCCATTAAGTTGACTGAAAAAAAGAAACTGTTGCAGAAATCAGTTTCACTCAGAAATTGCAAGTGGATTTTACAAATAAATACAAAGAAATGGCAAGTAACACAATGAATTAAATGTGAAATTGTACAGTAGAAAAACTGAAATAGCATGTTCTTGAAATACATACTCTACTAATCTGTTTTAATCACAATGTTTTTACAGTGTTGCTTTGAATCATTTTATGGTGAATAAAAAAATGCATAAAAATGACAATGTTTGCTGTCTTCTGTAATTTATAAATATATTTCGTATGCATGTGCCAACTCCTTGCTGCACAAGGCAAATTCCACCAATTGTTGTAGGGCAAGAATCTAATTTAATCAAATATAATTTTTTTAAACACTACTCTCATTTTTCAGAAAGTGGACTTTGAGAAGGATTGGAAACTGGTGACACTATTTATTGGGGGAAATGACCTTTGCCAGTACTGTCACGACCGGGTGAGTGGATGATTCTTAATATAAAGGCTCTCAGCTCCCCATCATAAATTGTTTCTTCTTGTGCCAGAGAACCACAGCAGTGACCTTTAAGCAGCTAAAATACATTTGGATACTAACAAACAGAGATGTGCCACTGAGTCATTGTAAATCTAAGTGTAATCTAAGACCAGCAAATAACAATTAAATTTGAAAAAAAAAAAAAACAGAAAAAAAAAAGTGTTTTTCTCTACCCAGGCTTCTCTGTCTCCTTCTAAGTACATCGGTCACATCATAGACAGTCTGGACATGCTGTACAATGAGGTGAGAGAGATGCATTTACTGAACCTGATCACATTCATGAATCATCTTTCACCCACAAAATCAAAATAAACAATAAGAAATTAAATGCTTATTAGTTAGAAAATCATTATCACAGGGTTTTTGCGCAGTGACATTATTTACACACATTTTCACATATATTTAACACAGAAAAATGCTTTAATAATTGTGTGTCTTGGTATTTCCTATGTCATGGGGACCAAATGTCCCACAAGTATAGTAATACCAGTAAATGTTGACATTTTTGGTCCCCATGAGGAAACAAGCTTATAAATCATACAGAATGAGGGGTAGGGTTGCGGTGAGGGGATATAAAATACAGTTTGGACAGTATAAAATATATTACACCTATGGAATGTCCCTATAAAATGCATTGGAAACCCAATCATGTGGGTGTGTGTGTGTGTGTGTGTATGTGCAGGTTCCCAGAGTGCTGGTAAATTTTGTCGGAATCTTAGAGATCACGGATCTGCGAATGATAAAGAGGAACACACTGGGCTGCAGCCTCCTGCAAGAGTAAATACTTCACTAAATAGATGATTTAATCTAAAAATCAGTGTACATTTTCATGTTCTTTCGTACAACTGCATTTTCATGACTGTGTGTGTGTGACAGGAACATGTGTCCATGTTTTCTGGAACCTCGTGAGAACTCTCCAGAAATGAATGAAATGAAGAAGGTCAACAGAGATCTGCAGGTCTGTAGCCATCAAGTTGTCAGTTCATTGATAACTGATTAGCTGAGTGGGCTTTAGATTATCTTGACCTTTAATAATAGAAGTGTTGTTTTATGTGTCAGATGGAGACTGAAAGGCTGGTGTATGGGGGAAGGTATGATGGAAGACAGGACTTTGCAGTACTGCTACAGCCCTTCTTCAAGAACTCTGTTGTTCCAATGGTCGAGGTTAGTGCCCTTAAAGGGGTCATATGATGCGATTTCAATTTTTCCTTTCTCTTTGGAGTGTTACAAGCTCTTGGTGCATAAAGAA